CACCCAGCGGCCATCCCTCCCCATCAGCCTGGCCTCTCTTGAGCCCTGGGGCCAGACAAGCTCCCAGACTGGCTCTCCTATTAGGAAGGGGCAAATCCCGGAGCTGGACCCAGCACAGGCTCTGAGAGAAATGATGCATGTCTTTTAAAATTGAGCCCAAAGTTGTCATAACAGGTAAAGTGTCCCCTGCCCACACCCACATGCAGACCTCCAGGGAGGCCACTCTCTAGGCCACCCGGCCTCGCCAGCGTAGCAATGGCTGGAATGTCTAGAAGCATTTTTGAGTTTTTAAATAAAGCTTCTTTTTTAAAAAAAGATGTTGGGAAAATAATCCATCTCATTATCCACAGATGAGAATTTTGATGCATCTCCTTTCTGCCATCTCTCCTGCAGTATTTTACAGTTATTGAGTTTTACACTCTCTATAATCCAACTCTATTTATAATCACATAACTGTTTTCACATTTTCCCTTGCCATTAAAATCCCTGCATTTCTCGTCAACATACTTTTCAACAGCTGCATAAACCCACCAAGCGGAGGTGCCAGGATGTGTCTAACCAATTCCTCACCAGCAGGCATTCAAGTTGTTGCTCAAACTTTCTAACACTATAGATGGATGGATGGATAGATAGATAGATACGGGTAGAGACAGAGATAAAGATATATAGATATTAAAAAGGCCACAATGGCCATGAGTCACAGAACTGTTTCTGAAGTTAAGATTCTTTTCCTAAGACGGATTCCCAGAATGAAACGCCCAGGTCAAGGGTGTGACCACGTTCACGATTCTGCACCCACAGCAGCCGGCGCCCCGGGTTGAGCCACTCACGCTCAGGGTCCCAGGGTGGGGTTGGCCAGAAACGCCGCACATGCATCCATCTCTCCGTCACGCTGGGCACCGTGCTGCCTTCACAGCTCCTCAACCTCACGCAGCACCCAGGGGCGCCCACACTATCCTTCTTTCCTTTCTCCCTCTCTCCCTTCCTTTCTTCCTTCAACAAATACTAAGCACAAGTACAAACTGTTGTTCTTGAGGCTGGGGATACAGAAGTGAAACGCCCTCACAGAGGGGACATTCCAGCCTGGGGACAGATGATGAATAGGAAGTAATGAAAATACACAGGGTGTGTTAGGCCCCCTGGGGCTTAATCTCTGTGAGAGCCCCAGCCAGGCCAGTGGAGCAGGTGTGCGGTGACTCCTAATGCAGACCTGTTTGCAGTGACTCTAGCTGTGCGCAGGGATGGACACTGGCTCCCTGTCCCCAGGAGGGCCGTACACGCGTCGGGGACAGGGCTCCAGCTTCTGTCTCCTGTGTCCTCTCCACCCATCCCTGAAACTCCAGCCCGGACTCTGCACATGGTAGGATATAACACAGACATACAAACTGGCTCAAAGGCAAACCGCCTGAAACTCCAGCTGTCTGCTATTGCTGAGAAACCTTATGGAAAATTCAGAAACCATTACTATTTGGCTCTAGGATACATAATATGATGCCATTTGCAGCAAATCTGCAAATAATTCCTAATTATGTTTTCCTAGACTAAAAAAGCACATTCGTTTTCCTCACGGACACACCAGCCATGAAGCTTCTGGAAGGGCAGAAGGGGGACAGTGGGCGTGATTCTTTTGAAGCCACAGATGCTGTCAGAGTGAGGAATCCCAGCGCAGGTAACAGAGTGTTTGCTGAAGACACAGCAGCCTGTGTGTCTGCAGGGTTCTCGCTTGTCTAGCTCCAGGTTGATCAACCCAGGGTGGATTCAGGGTGGGGAGGGGCTGGAGTGTTAGCGCACCAGGCAGGTGTGAGCGAGCAGCCTCCTGCAAGCCCTGGACACACCTATCATTTCTCTCCCTGAAACCAGGAGCAACAACAGTCTTTCTGAAATTTATGGCTCTGCCTGTGGGGCTTGATGGGCTCTGTTGGTCATGATGGATTGTTGCTATTTCCCGGGATGGAGCTGGGAGGTAGTGTGTGCTCCCTCACCCCCACCCCAGGAGATGAAGGACAAGGCAGGGGCGGGAAGGACAGGCCGGGACTGGAAGAAATCCAGGGACACGTTGAATATGCTGGCAGTGGCACCCCCAGCCCCAGAAGGCAGGCCTGGAGCCCAGGTTCACCTGACCCTCGGCTCTGCTGTCCACAGCAGGATTTGCAGCAGAGAGACAGCTGGGTCCTCTGCCTTCGCCCTGGTGAACAGACCTGGTGACAGAGGCTGGACCAGCAGCCCAGGGAGGTGGCAGCACAGCTGGGGGCAGAAAAGTAGAAAGGATGGGAGGGGGGCGTGGGAGGGGCTGGATCAGAGGGGACACAGACGGCAGACAGCTTCAGAGAAGACTGGCATAGAGAAGAAAATGGTCTCAGGCCTCAGGGGGAACTCCAGGGGAGCCCAACACCTTTGCCTCCATCTCCCCGTCTCTGCCCCCGGGCCCCTTTGCTTCCCTTCTTGCTGCCCTGACCCCTAATCCCTTCTTCACAAAGCAGTCAGAGTGAACTTTATAAAAAGAAGCCAGAGCCTATCAGCCCCTGGCTGAAAGCCCCCCCAGCAACTTCCCACAGCTCTTAGAATAGTGTCCCAGCGCTCCTTACCATAGCTGACAAAGCCCTATGCCGCCTGTCCTGCTGACCGCTCCCACCCTTCACCACACTTTGCCATGTTGGCTTTCACATTGCTCCTCTTCCTCCAAAATACCAAGCTTGTTCCTACCCCAGGGCCTTTGCACTTGCTGCTCTCGCTACCTCAAATTCTCTCCTCCTAGTTCCTCATGTAGCTGGCTCCTTCCTACCATTCAGAATTGAGCTCAAGTATCACCAGCGCAGAAGGGCCTTCCCAGACCACCATATTTGAATAGCCGTTTTCTTGGTCACCCCCCAATCCTTCACAGCATGGATCAGTGTCTGACATTATCTCATGTATTTCTTTTACTCATTACTGCCTGTCTGCCCCACTGGAATGGGGACAACAAACATAACTGTGTCCCCAGCACCTGTAGCAGTGCCTGGCGCTTAGCTGGTCCCGTACGTATTTCATGAGTGCATATTTTGGTCAGGTACTCAGCCCCTGGATGGTGTGATAGCATCTTCTAACTGGGAACCCAGCATGGCTGCACAGCAGCCCACCCAGGAGGCCCGATGTCCTGGGGGAAAAGAGCTTCCACCAGGAGCCAAGCACTCTGCTGGGCTCGTCACATCCAGTAACACATTTAACCCCAGGCTCCAGAGCTGCAATTTTAATGCCTACATTTTCCAAACAAAACAAAAAAAAAAGAAAAATCAGAGCAAAGGTCTAACAAAAACATTTTGTTTCCTGAATTGTAAATGAATTGATATGAAAAGTCTTGCTAAGGAATTAAAAATGAACCCACACAAGCTGCACATTTAATGAATGGCCATCCAGATCATGGATGGTTAGAAAGATGGGCTCTGAAGCCAGCTGACCTGGGCCCAGAGCCAGGCCCAGCCCCTTCGCAGCTGTGCAACTTTGAGCAAGTTCCTCGACTTCCCTGTGCCTCAGTTTCCTCTGATTGAGGAGGCAATCAGGAGAACATGACCACAGGTTGACCGGAGAGCTGGACCCGGGTCATCGGAGGTTCCTCACCCCTCCCCTGCCCTTGGGATGTATATTCTCTGCCCACCGTTCCCAGAGTGGGAGCCGTTTCAAGGGTGCAGCCTTGAGAGAGCAGGGTGTTGTGGAGACCATCTGGACGGTGTACGTGACTGACCCCAGGTAAGGCCTCTACATGAACTGTTAAGATTCTGGTGGCAGGTGAGATCCACTTGTCTCATGGCGCCCACAACAAGCCTTGTATATAGTCCCCTTGCTTCCCTAACCTGCCACCTACGAATCCAACTGGCCGCCTCTTTCCTTGGAAATGCCTGCAGTTTTGCCTTTCACATCATACACATTGGCTGAAATACAGCTTTTCCCCAAACTGTCTCAAAGTGTGGATTTCAAACCTAGTTTTTAGCAGAACACTTTTGGGAAGTCACACTGGCTGAGGCACAGCCTTTCCTAAACTGTGTCAAAGAGTTGGTTTCCAACTAATTTTTCAGCAGTTAAGATAAAACACATTGCGCAAATCCATCTCATAAAGAACCCCAATATCTAAAAAGTCAGGTGTAGCTCGTCTCCCTGGGATGGTGGGGTCCAGGCTCCCTCCCCCCACATCTGAGTCTGGAGGCCAGGACTCCCAATCAGGACGCCCTGACTTCATTCTCTAGGGTCTGGAGGCCACTTACATACCAAGGACACCGACCTGGTCGCATACCACCCGGGTTCCTAGGGATGCAGCTGAGACACATGGGACTAGAGCGCAAACTCTTGGGGACCTTTGCACGTTCTGCCCTCAGTAGGGGGAATATTTTGAATGAATAAACCAGAAAGTTATTTTTGGTAGAGATTGCCCACGTACATCAGTGGAGAACAGATGACCACTGTGGCCATCACAGTCCACGTGGACATCCCACCACGCCCCTCAACACAGACAGAGCTCAAAATCACCACAATGAGCGAAGTAAGCAGGTGCTGACTAGGTACTGTGGGACGCCACTTGTGTAAGGTCTGCAAAAACGCACACTATGCATTTACAGCGTGTCCATGTATAAAACGCCCGTGTAAAAGTACTTAGAAGGCACTGGAAGGACTTTCACCAAAGTCAGGAAAGCACTTGTCTGTAGGGGGAAGCAGTTAAAGGGCCCTTCAGCCGCGTCTGCGATGCTTTATTAAAAAGGAACAAAGACCATCAATGTGACGAAATGTTAATGGCTGTTGAATCTGGATGGTAGGTAGAACAGTGCTCTGGGTTGTATTGCTGTGTGGTTGCCTGTATTCTTAACGTTTTCCCCAGATTAACAAAAACGGGGGTGACAGACAGCCCCCCGCCCCCCGCAGAGCTGTGGGAGTGCACTTTGAGCACTTTGAGACTGCACGCCCACCCCCAGCACACCTGAAGTGCAACCCCTCCCCCACACCGTGTGCCCCTCTCCCTCCAGTGTCCCTCTCACCTGTCCAGGGCAAAATGCCCTCCACCTGCAGCCCGGTGCAGCTCGCTGCTGTTCTCCAGTCTGGCCAGTGTGTCCATACGCTTCACCATCAGCTCCAACAGATCACTCATCTTGCGGAGGACGCCACGGGACTCCGGCCCACCCATCACTGTAGGCAGAGCGCAGCCACAGTCAGCTTGGAGGCCACCTGAAGCCACCTGGTCTCCAGGCCGGGGGTGGCTCAGACCGCAGCCGTGCCACTCCCATCTTCCCAGAAAGAGGAGGGGTCAGGAGAGGGAGCCCACCCCACCCCTCACCCCTGTAGGGCAGAAATCCAGACAGCCTGGGCCAACCTTGCTTCCTACCAGAGGTGTGACACTGGGATAACCTTTTAACCTCTCTGGGTCTGTTTGGTCACCTACAAAATCATCGTGCTTTAGACGTAATCTTATGTCTGTGAGACGACAGGGCAGGTCCAGTGGTGAAACAGGAGCACCAAAGCCCCCCTACACTGAGCTCCAGACAGGACTTCTGGGTCAGGGTTTCTACAACTGTGACCAGTCATTCACCCTGCACCTGAATCTCCGGGCCAGACTGCTAACATCCAGATTCCCAGGCCCTAGTCTAGGTCTGCTGATTCAAGTCTCTAGGGCGTGGGGCCCAGGGCCCTGCACTTTACTTGCTCCCCACGTGGCCCGGGTGCACAGAAGCGGTTGTGAGCTTGTGTTCAAGGGGTTCAGGGCCCTGTTGTTCTCCTGCCAACCTTGGGGCCCCAACCGCATCCCTTGCTCTTCTCTCCCCGAGACCCCACTGTAGAAAACCATCGTGGATTTGTCCTGACTCTCGAGCTGGTCTTCGGGTTCATAAAGATCGACCCCAGGGCTGAGGGCAAGGGGAGACCTTGTGAAGAATACAATTAAATGAAAATGAGGTGTTTCAGCCAAGATCCCATTAACCAGATGGAGATTCTCGGCGATTTCCTTTCTAATCATTCCCGTCATCAGTGCCACACGTGCCAGTGGGAACGCGAGTCCTCACCTTCCTTCTCAAGGGCATTTTGGGAAGGATTTAAGCAGCCCCTCCAAACGGCGCATAGGTGCTCAGTTCTAGCCACTGCAGTCCCCAACTGGGCTCCCTGCAGACCCCTAGGGCCAGGCTCTGAATCGCTCATAACAAATGAGCCAAGACAGGGCCAGCCGAGTGGCGCGTTGGTTAAGAGCTGGCTTGGGACGCCAGAGGGCCCCGGTTCGGATCCCACATGAGGGCCAGTGACACTGCCCTCTACAGCTAAGATGCTGAACAACAGCTCAACCTGGAGCTGGGCTGCCGTGAATCGCCGGTGACGGCGACGGCGAAGGCTGCAGCCCCTGCTGCAGTGGGTTGCCATGGGCTACCGTGTGTAGCCAGCAGCCAGCATGAGCGGCCAGCAGCCGCAGTGAGCGGCCATCCAGAAGCCGGCGACTGATCTGCCTCACCTGGGAAGAGCGCAATGATGGTGCCAACTTGGGCCAGTGAAGCAACGTCCTCCACAACTAGACTGAAGAACAAAAACAACAGCAACTTGTCTGTTCCCCTTCCCTCAATTCCCCAGCGCTGTTTCCATCTCCCCAATTCCCCCAATAAAAATCTTTTTAAAAAACCCCAAAAACAAATGAGCCAAGTCAGTGGAGACCCCAATGCTTCTGGGGGTGTCCCAGTCTGCCAGAGAGGGGCAGGGGGCACCTTAGGTTGGGTTCCCCAGAAGCAGACCCTGAAACAAGGGTTTGAGGTCAAGTTGTTCATTTGGGGGGTGAAGGAAACCCCAGTTGGGAAGTGGGAGGTGAAACAGGGCAGGGGAGGCAGCCCAGAGAGGGTGTGTCACCAAGTTGGGGAAACCAGCAAGTATGGAACCTGCCTCAGAGTTCTCCCCCTGGGGGGGCGAGGGAGCTGGGCCATGTGCACACCACCTCCCGCCAGTCACTGCGTGAGGGTTGCTCCCAGGACAGCCATGTTCTGGTACTTTCTGCTGCTGTGGGGGGGGGCAGAACCGGCTCCAGGAAGCCCCCCCAGGCAAAGAGCTGCAGGGTAGCCCCCGTGCATGGGGGTCCTGAGGGTAGCGGGCATGAGCGCCACAGTACCTGCCTCTCAGGAAGGAAGGGAGGGGTCCGGCAACCTCAGGGGCCACAAGGCGGATCCTTGGCTCTTTCTGCCTCTGCCCACCCCACCCCGGCCGAGGGAAAGTCCTTGTAACACTTCCCCCTCAGTGTCCCCAACTCAGGGTAACAACATCAGCCCCGTCTGCGGCCAAGGTCACAATGCCAGGTGGGGACCAGCAGAGAACACGACAGGCCACTGGGAACAAGAAGCAGAGATGGGGAGAAGCGGGGGGTGCAGGAGGGGACAGGTCTCTGGCTCCAAGCTCGGGAATGAGCTGAGGAGGAGAAGCCAAGAGCGGTTCCATGTCACGGGCTGCTTGTGACGTTTCTGCTTTGCTTGTCCCCACAACCCCTGGCTCCGGGCCCAGTCCAGGGGCTACCGCTGCTTCTCACACTAAGTCACCTCCCGGCTGGGTCCCTGAGCCCACCTGCGGTCAGAAGGGAGGCTGCCGGCAGCCGCGGGGCTCACTCACATGCCACGGCAGTGCCAGCTGGGCACCAGATCCAGAGCAGGGAGGAGCCGCGGGTTCTTTGAAGAGCCCGGGTCCTGGCTCCAAAAAACAAAAAGAATGGGCATGAATGGGGAGGTTGGGACACACACACACACACACACACACACACACGAGTGGCCCGACCGGATGGGGGGGCACGTCGCTTTGCTTCTCTGGGCCTCAGTTTCCCCTCCTGTAAAACAAGGGGGGTGGACTTAGGAAGCCCTGAGGTTCTGTAGGCCAGCGTCTTCCCCTAATTGCCTCTAGAGATTAATTGGGGTGATGGGAGAGGAAAGAGTTGTCCCTAGAAAAGCCATTAGCTCCCCTTAGGGTGAGAGCTGTTTGTTTTGCTAAACCCCTGGGTGGGCCCAAGTACAGACTAGATGCCCAGAGCAGGGACACAGAGAAGGCGAACTGGCTCTGCGTGTTCAGGAGGAAAGCGGGAATTCCCTGCTTAGCCTGGGAGATGAGGAGACAGTACAGGGCGCAGAGGCAGGTGGTAGGGGTGGCCAGAGGCTGAGCAGGGTGGCGAGGGTCCCACTGCAGAGATGGGGGGGTCCGAAAGGCAAGGATGCAAGGGGGAATTGTCATCTGCTCATCCCACCCCATCACCCCTACCTCTGTGCTGTGCAGGGGCCTTAGGGGGAACAGGGTGCCCTCCCCACTAGGTCAATGTGGGGGACAGAGGTGGCAGGAGGGGAGACGCCGAGGAGGATAATTCAGCAAAAACAGGAGGAAATCAGAGTAAGGGGTGACCAGGGAACCATAAGCTCTGGAGACATTTGGGGGTCCTAGAGTGTCCGTCATAGGAGGGATTAACCCAATTCTTAGAAACATCAACAGAAAGTGTGACCCCAGAAGACCAGAGGGCTTAGATCCCCAAAGATCTAAGAGCTAAAGAGACAGAGCCCCCATCTCAGGTGGGTCTGCAAGCCCACCTCCATCAGACTGGACCAAGACCACAAGACACCTCCCCAGCAGCTGGGGCCCAGGGGCTGCTCTCATGGTCTTCAGATGGGGCAGGGCTCTGGAAGCTCCTGAGACCTCCGGAGACAACCCCCTCCCCCACCGCTTCCCAGGGAGCTCCTGGGCCCCAAGCACAGTTTCTGTCCAGGATAAGGCAAGGGGTGGGTCCCTGGGAGGGACGCAGGCCTTGCATAGCCAGTCTGGGGGGGCCGCCCCACGTGACATGCTCCCTGGATATCACCACCAGCCCCAGAACTGTCAGCAGAGCAAGCTCCTGACATGGCTTGCCCTGAGTCACCTCGCGGCTCTCGGCACTGGCTGGATTGAAATGTATTTAATGTGAGGCCCCAGTGACACATCTCAGAGCTCACACATGTTCCCTCCATATTTCCATATAAATAAGGAAAGCTGGGATGCGAAAGAGACAAATGGCTGCTCACGCTTACAGACAGGGGTGTTTTATTACCCACCAAGGCCCCTCCCTCCCTGGACAGGTTCTCTGCGTCTCTCTGCATCTCCTGCCCTCCTCGCTTGCCCTCCCTTTCTTGTCCCCACCCCCATCCTTTACCTCTGGTTCCTGGAAATCAAAGGAACCCCCCACCTCAGTAGATAAGAGAGACCTCCTTGCACTTGACATGGGGGCTGTGACTTGGTGTTTGTGCAGCTGGAGATATGAGTGCATTTGTCTGTCCACACACAGCCACCTTAGAAACCAGCTGAGGCCATGGGGGCTCTGGGCAGTGGAGGGGACAAGGGCAGGCCCTGGCCCTGGCCCTGGCCCATCCATCTCCAGCCTCTGAGAGGATGCACCCCAGAGCCCTACAGCCCCAAAGTCCAGGGCCAGAGACAGCCACGGAGCAAGGAAAAATTTCTCCAGTATTCCCCAAGTTCAAATCCTGGCCAGGGGGCCAGGAGGTCTGGCAGGGCCAGGCCACAGGGGAAACTCAGGGCAGATACATATAGCTGAACCAAGGCCCTCTAGTCTGCAGACCTGTCCCGCTGGGGACAGCCTCCGACCTCTACTTCTTCAAGACAAGACAGACAGCGGGAACAGCCACACACCCTCTGGGGAACCTGCAGTAACGTTGGGAAGGAGGCCTCAGACACAACTTCACATCCCCTTTCATTAGAAGGAAGCACGTTCCTCCTTAGGACAAGAGAAAGGCAGCGGAGGCAGGAGGCAGGGAGGAGGGACGGGCTGGGGAGGAGGAGAGCTGCCTGGGGAGCTCGCAAAAAAAAAAAAAAAATCCTGCCGCTGGACCCAAGCCAGGGCCAACTGCAGCAAGAGGGAATTAGGTTAGATCTCCTCCGAGTTACGCTTCTCCCTTCAGCCTCCTTCTTTGACTCTTCAGACGAGTATGCAGAATATAGAATGAGCTGTCTGTCACAGTTTCATCCCCCAACTAGGGAACTTTATCACGAAAAAGAAACTGGCCCCGAGAGGAACCTGGAGCCCCCCCACAGGGACCACAGTTCATCGAGGGTGTCGAGACCTCTCCTTCTCCCCTTCTGGGCAGAACCTTCTCCTTCCTGCCGCTCCCCAGCCATGGCCACGTGAGACCCACTTCCCTCAGGCTTGACAGGCAGGGAGGGAGTGTTTTCCCATCTGTGCTCAGATGGTTTTGTTGGCCAAGGCAAGGTTTTTTTCTCCTAGCTGTGGGTTTCTTTCTCCTGATTCTGCCCTCAGGCTGCACAGACCCTGGGAATAAACGCTACCCAACAACCCGGCCCAGCCCATGACCCCCTTCCCACCCCCATTTTTCCCTCAGGTGGCTCCTAGGCAGAAACGCTGGCACCTCCTGGGTTGGTAGCAGGACTGCTCTAGGCACACCGTGGAGTGTCATTGTGGGGGGGGGCATCTCTTGTAGGATCAGGATTTTAAACCCACAAGGTAAACTTGGGGCTCCTCCAAGCACCTGCTTTGGGTCTCTCTAAGCAAAACAACTTAATCCAAGGGCATGAAAGAAACCAGAGGTCAAACAGAACTGGGATACAAAGCGAAACAGGGTCAGTTCTCAAGGCCCCCCTCCTTGTCCATCTCCTCCCCCTCCCAGACTTCAGTTCCATCTTCTAAGTCTTCCAACAGGAGACCCGGTAACTCCACTCCTAGGTGTGCCCAACAGAAATGCCTGCGCGTCTCCACCAGGCATGTACGAGAATGTTCACAGCAGCGCTCTCCACAAAAGCCCCAAACTGGGAACAACGGAACATCCACCAATAGTGGAACAGATACACTGCGGCGTTCGCACACAATGGGACACGGCCGGGCAACGAAAACAAACGCCAACCACACACCCCGAGATGGATGAGTCTCACAGATGTGACACTGAGAGAAAAAGCCACACACAGAGAACACCCGCTATCTGATTTTATTCTCATAAAGTCCAAAACAAGGGAAAACATCTCTGTGTTGTTAGAGTCGGGTCCTGATGTCCTTGGGGAAGGAGTGAGTGGGCGGAGGAAAGCAGACGCTTCTGGGGGCCGATCACGTTCTGTTTCTCCACCTGGGTTGCCGGTTGCATGGATGTGTTCAGTTTGTGCATATTATACGCCAGTGGAAAATTTAAGTGCACGCGCATGTGCGCGCGCGCGCGCACGCATGCGCACACACCTTCAGTCTAACTGCATGACCTTGGGTAAGTCCTCTCCCCTCCATGGTTCTGCTAACCCCTAAGATACAAGATCTGGGTTGGAGTTGGGCTCCTGCCCCATCTACCAGGCGAAGCTGCGCAGCGCAGTGCTCAGCAGGGCAAGTCCCCTGTACTATGGGCCACTGGGCCCACCCCCTGCTGAGGTGGAGCCACCCCCCAACCCCTCAAGGAGACAAGCGAAGAAGCCATACACCCAGTCGTGCACCCTCCTCTCCCAGCCCCTGACTGGCATCTCTAGGATCCCTGACCTTTCCCTCAAGCCCCTTATAGGAGCCCACCCAGACAGACACACCCCCTCTCCAGGGGTGGCACCCAGGTAGCTTGAGCATCACTCCTCATGCCCCATTCTCCCATGCTCCACGGCCCCCACCAGCCATCCCCCCATGCCCTCCAGGACCCCTCCCCAAGCTTGCCCTCCAATGCCCCTTCACAACTACCCACCCGCTCGTCCAACCGCAGTCCTCAGGCATCTCCCACGTTGAAATCCTGGCACCTCCTCAATCCTTTTCTCTAAACATCCTTTTCTGCAGTGTCCCCGTCACACACTCAATATACCCAGTAAATATTTAGGGAGCATGTACTATTTGCCAGTGGCTGCTCGAGACCCTTCATATAGGTTCTCTGAACACCAACTCAATCCTGGGGAAGTAGATATGATCATCCCCATTCATCAGAGGCCAACGCGAAGGCTCAGAGAGCCTGCAGAAAGAACCTCCACGAGCCAGAGACAGAATAAATTAACTCACACTCAGGCTTGAATGACTAATAAATGTGAAATTCCTGCTGGGAGCCTTCGCAAGTTTAAAGACGTGTACGTGAAACTGAAGGAATGACTCTAATGATGAGACACAGATGGCATAAGTGTCCCTGAGAGCCCCACCCCCAGATGACAGCCATTCTACTAGAGGGTATATTCGTCATCTGGAACAGGGAAGTCAGTCAGCTGAGCCCTGGGGGTTCAAGAGGGTGGACTTCCAAGAGAGACTTCCCTGAGGGCCAGGGGAAGCCCAAACAGCCAGCCCCTGGACAGTTCCGGAAACCCCGTCTGCCTCAGTTGCCCAACTTTTGTAGGTTCCACTTTCGCACTGTTGACCAGAAGAGCCTCAGTGACACATGAAGCAGGTACCCTCCCTGAGCAGGATGAGGGGAGCAGGGCCACCTTCAGGAGGAGGGTGCCCAGGTCATCACCCCGCCACACCCCCATGCCCTGTGAGCTCATTCAATCCAACCCCTGAAGGCAATCATTACTTCCCTTCTCTGAGGTGACTTAGTGACCTAGCCAACAGCACACAGCTGGTAGATGATCAGCCAGGGAACAAACCAGGTCCATCTGGTCCCCAAAGCCCACGTGGTCTCAGCACCTCTGTCCCACGGCCTCGAAAGTATCATGTGGGCAAGGACCCACAAAGATACGGACTGTGCCCCGAGAGCTCAGAGACAAGGCACGGGAGCCCACAGACCGATCTGCCCTCTGCCTCCCATTGTGACCACAGCCTGGCCCAAAGGCACAGAATATGTCTGTCTCAAAGAGACAGGTGTCGTATTCAGAACCCCCCCTCAGACACACTAAAGAGGCAACACAGGCAGCCTTTTCTGATGCCTGGGAGACCCTGACTCGAAGACTCTCCCAGGCCTGAGAGTCGAGGCAAGAGGAACCCTGATGGCCAGGCCAAGCAGCACACAAGGTCGTGCAGCCCAAGCCAAGGCCCCTCTCAACTCACACGTCCACTGAGGAGGTGTCCAGAACGCCTGGGACAGAGCCCCAGGAAGCCCCCCGGTGGTGCTAAGCATGAAGGCCCCCCTCTTCTCGCCCGTAAACAGCTGCACACGTTTGGCTCCCCTTCCCCCATTAAGGTACCTTCTGTGCGGATGGTGAAGGGGGAGTCCCCGGGGCGCCGGGCCGAGAACTGGCCTCCCAGAGATGTCATCAGGAAGCAGAGTGAGAAGAAGCCGATACCCAGGACAAAAAGCCTGCGGAGAGCAACAGGGCGGGTCAGCGGCACGCACCCCTAGCCAGTAAGAGCTCGCACAAATGAATGAGTGAGGAAGGGATGGGTGGATGGAAGAATGAAACACCCGTGGCTGGGCTCCTGGGCCAGGAGGTCTCCCATCACCACAAGATAAAGGCAGCTCCGCTGCAGGGAACTGGCCACGAGCCAAGACCATGAGGGAAAACGGTGCACCTTTAGGTGTGAGGTTAGGCAGGTTCCACCCTCAGATAGAGCCTGGCTCGTTGCCAGAGGTCCTCCAAGCGTGGTCCCCAGACCAGCAGCAGCACATCACCTTGGAAATGTTGGAGATGTAAATTCTTGAGTCCCAACCCCGGGTTTACTGAATCAGACACTGTGGGGTGGGGCAAGCAGTGTATTTTCACAAGCCCTCCAGGCGATCCACATACATGCTAAAGTTTGAGAACCGTTGGTATAGACGGAAACAGCAGGTCCCGATGCCAGCCAGAGGGCAAGCAACTGGTCCAGATGAAACTCACCTGGATCCCATCAATCACCGGGCCCCACTCAGCACTTGTGTACACAGGCCTTGCCACAGCCATCAGTCATGAGCTTGCTTGAACACCTCCTCATCATGTTCAAGGGTGGGGGTATGTGCCCCCATCACTACCAGATGGTAATATCTAGAACAGCAGGGCCACGTGGCTGCCTTCTGTGCCCAGACTCTGCTAACCCACATCTTCACCAGGCAAGCACATGGTAGGTTGTCAGCCTGCACCTTGGACTGGTCAGAGTGAGCTGGCACCTGTGCGTGGGGTGTCATATGGGTGTGTGCTATCACGGTGGTCAGGAGAGCTGGCCAAAATGTAAGTGTTCATTGCTTCAACACACAGCCCCAGGGAGACAGTAGGGAACCCACCCTCCAGTCCAGCCCCAGGCTCCTGCTCCTTCCAAGGCACCAAACAGGGAAACTTAGCTCCCCAAAACAGCCTTGGGGTGGCCAGAGGTGGCAGCTATTCTGGGACCTTGAATCAATCCGAGAGCTTGATGATCTAGCAGAGCCGAAAGGGGAGCCCTCCCTGCCAAGGTCAGAGTGAAGACCCCCATCTTGTGTGGAGTCAGGCTCACCATGGGGAGCCCCACGTCATGCCAGAGACCTCCAGCCCTGTCACCTCCACCCCATCCTCAACACCCACATTTGTTTGTATCTCTATGCAAGACTTGCTTTATGCATTTTAATCTTCATTATTTGAAACTGGCAGAGCAGTATTTAATTAAAATTTGGTCCATTAAAGAAAACACATAATTGCAGAAGAAAATAAAAGCACAACGAAATTCCCAGCCCATATTTAACGGAAGCTGTTAGAGATTAAATCAGAGAGGGGCAGAACCTAAAAGCAGGGATAGGCATGATGGCAAAAGGGACACTGCTCCCTCACCAAATTCCATCAACCCCCGGGGCAGGGCTCAGGCCCTCGGATCCCCAAGATTAAGTCAGGCTGGTCTCAGGACAGCAGCCAGAGGGACAGTGTAAAAGGAGTTGGTCGCACACCCAGGAAGGTCCTAAGAAAATCAGCCGGTTGTCCTCCCAGCCTGAGGACAAAGACAAACCCCTCAAGTTTCTCATGCCTCACTTCCCCCACCCACTTCCCCAGTGATGGGGTTGGACTTACAGCTGGGGACCTGAGCTGCCAGGATCCAAAGACCTGCTGTGAGAAGGCATCTAAGACTTTCGCCCAGAATCTGAGGACCCCAAAATACCCCTTCAGCATCTCTCTCTGCCAGACCTCAATACTGGGGTCATTCTAGCCTGTCCTTGAGAATTACAAATAGGGATGATATGGTTGGAGGCCTGTCCCCTCCCTATCCCCATCTGAAGGGGACCCAAAGAGTTCACTGGAAGTTGTGGGTCTCTGGGAAGCCTAGGAAGTCCCCGAGGCAAAGTTACACAACTTGGAAGGGGGAACCTATGCAAGCCCACCTCTGAGTCCTGCCTTCAGATGAGAGCCAGAAGGAACCAGGACAGGACCCCAGAGGGAAGCAACGGTTGGGAGCAGGCGCTGTCCATGGTGCTTGCGTCCCGCAGCTGCTTCCATTTACACCAGGAAACGTCTGGCTAAAGCCTGAGTCTGTGGCTGGGGGCTTCCCCAGCCAGGCCTGGTGGGCGGGTTGGACATAAGGTGGGTGAAACGGGGCAAGGACCCTCTCACCGGTACCAGTCAGCTAGAGGTTAGAGGATTTCCTGGAGGAGCAAGGCCCCTTCCAGAGACGCCCACTTCCCATGGGGCTCTGGACACCCTCCCAATCACCAGCCCAAGGCCCTTCCCTGTGAGACCCCCAGTCCGATGGTCCTCCCGCGTCCCCCGGACAGCGGTGGGCCAGTACAACCCCCGCCGTCCCTGGAGGCTGTCTCCTCGGCCCCGAACAACAGGCTGGCTGGATGGAGAGGGCTGGACGTGTTGAGGGGTCGGAAGCCACGTGAGCCATGGTCTCCTAGTTAAGAGACTAAAGACAGTGGGAGCCCTGGGCGGGGCCGGGGGCTCTAGCCGAGGCCTGGATGGGAGGGGCTCAAATTTGGCCCCTCCCACGGCCCGGGCTTCGGGCGCCTCCGCCTGCCCAGTGCCCGCTTTCGCGGGCTCCTACCTGCGCCCTGGACCCTCACCTGTGGCGGCGTCCAGAGTGAGGCCCCCGCCCTGGCCCCCACCGCCCCCTCAGCGTCCTCCAGCCCCCACTCTCGGGCGAGGCAGCACTCCGAGCCCGCTGGGCACCCATCGCTTAGCGCCCTCTCCCCAACCACGACTGTAGGCAGGGCTCCACCGGCTCTTAGGAGAGGAGGGAGCTGCCCAGGCACTGCCGTGCTCCCCGGCCCACGGGTGGGGACCACCAGAGCCTGTCCTGCCCCGCGCGGGCCTAGCCCTGCCTGGCCTTGGCCACCCGAGGTTGGCGGGTAGAGGGATCGGTCTTGGCCTCCATCCTGCCTGCAGGCTCCCGCCGCGGTCCGGGGCTTCTTAAGCCCTTTCGCCCCGCAGCGCCGCCCCCGGCCCCGCCTCTCCACTGCCCGCGGACGGGTTTCGAATCCCCAGCAGAGGGGGTCCTTGCCCCTATCTCGGGGACCCTCTCGTTGGAGAAAGGCCCGCACGCCGCCGCGAAAAGGGGGGTGCACGAAGGAAGAGCGGGGAGCGGTAGCACGGCGGAGGGGGTGAGCGGGCCGACCCAGGGCTCCACTGGCCCGCGGGGTGGGGGTGCCGCCCGACGCTGCGCGCTAACTTTGCCGCCGGGGTGGGGCCGTCGGCGAGTTGGGGAAGGACCCCGAGGGGCAGGAAAGGGGCGCCCTAGCTAGGAGACTTCCCAAGTCCAGGACCGCGACCTGGGGGTTTTCTGACCCCACTCCCACCTTCGCACCAGGAGTCCTCTCCAACCTAGACCAGCTCTGGACACGTCCCGGCATTGCACACCCTTCCCCACACGAACCTGAACCCCAGCCCCGCCGGCCTTCACCACGGGTGGAAGCACAAACTGCCCTCTCTGCCACCGGGCATGCACCCTCGCGGGGACCGACCTCGCACACCCCTACCCCGCGCCCCCTCGGGGGGGAAAAAGACCTCCCCGCGCCGACAGGGAGATAACTTTACCGAAAGGGTCTCAGGGTGACCAGGCATCTTCTGACCATTATCTTCCCATCGGGGTTGACTGTGATCATTGTTCAAACTTGTCTGGGCGAGGAGCCACGGACGAGGCCGGACGCCCTGTCCCGGGCCCTCCTCCCGCCGCGTCCGGGCCGCGAACCCGCTGCGGGCGGAAACCCGGTCGGAGCGAGGCGGGGGGCGCGGAGGCTCGGCGGCTTCGCTACAACTGGCCGAGGCCCGTGGGGTCGACGCGGCCTCGGGGGGCAGGGGAACGGGAGCAGCGCGGCTGCCGGAGGGCGGCGAGGGCGCCCGGCCGGGGCCGTCTCTGCGTCTCCGCCCTCACCGCTTCACATTTTGGGGGCCGGGAGGCGGCGCGCCCCCAGACCGCCGGCCGCGCGTCTGCCTGCTCGGGCTCGCTCGCTGGGCGGGACGGCGCCGCGGCGCGCAGACGGGCTCCCCGCCGCGGGCGCCCTCATCCCCGGGCCCGCGCCCTCGGTGCCGGCTAGAGGCGGCCCCGGGCCCGCGCCCCAGCCCCCCGAGCCTCTGGGCCGCGCCGCTCCCCGGCCCGGTGCCGTGCAGCCCCCATGGCTCTCGACGCGGGCGCCCCGCGCCCGCCCTGCCGCTCGCTTGGCTGCCCGCTCTCGGGTGTCCAGCGTCCTGCCCGCGCCGAGCTACGCGGGGAGGCGCCGCATTGTTTCCTCGGAGGAGGCGGCGGAGCCGCGGCTGGGGCGGCCCGGGAGCGGCTGCCACGCTTCCTCGGCGCACTGGCGCCATCTCGTGGCCGAGGCTCAGCACAGCAGCGCAACCTCCCGGCCCGGGGTGGGGCGCTGGGGACCGGAGGGCGGGAGTCCCTACGCATCCCTCCAGCGGTGCAACTTCCCCGCGCCCCGCTTTCGGAAATATCCCGGGAGGGCTGCTTGGGGTCCTGCAGAGCGCAGAGGAGGTGAGCGCTAGGAAGAGACCCCACCCCCGCGGTCAGTGCCGGGGCCCTCCCTCCGGCTGCTACCTCTGTCGATTTCGTGGGCTTCTGCACCCGCCCCTCACACCCGCTCTGATTCCGCTGTGCACCCTCACCCATCCTCTGGCCCTCTCTGGTCAGAAACTGCTGCGGCTCCCCTCTGCTTGCTGATTTGAGTTCAAACTCAACCTGTGGTGCTGAGGTTCTTTCAATGAGCCCGAAAACGGGGGCGTGCTGTGTGGGCCTGAGTTCTAGTCTCAGATCCTCCAATAACCAGTGGGTGACTGATGCGAGTCACGAGGACTCCCTGGCCTCGGTTTCTCCACGATGAAGTGAGAGTGACCAGAAGTGCGCTAAGGGTCCTGCCAACTCTATAAAGTATTTACATGCGCTCCTCCCACCCCTCCCTGCACTTCTTGACTTGGGAGACCGGCTGGCTTTGCAATTGCAGAGATGGGGGGGGGCGGCACCTGTGAGCACAGAGAGGTGGCAGCCAGGCCTGGATCTGAGGAAGCCCCCAGGTAGCAACACTTGCCAGACCTGACCTTGGCCAGGTGTAGATGTGGAGTCCCACGCTGGGAAACGCCCAAGGACTTGGGCCATGTGTTAAATGACATGGATGACCCTGAGAGTATTTCCGTCCCAGGCTTATTCTGCAGCCTATCTTAGGAGAGAAAGATTTATTCTGCTCCCTCTGGCCCTGGTCCCATCCATCCAGCCCCCCGCCCACAGCCCTTTTGCTGCCCTCCTAGCCCACCTCCCAACCCCCCTTCCGAGCCGCTTCTTACCAGCAATGACTCATGCTCTTGCTTTTCCTGCTCCTTCTTCATCAAAATTCACCTGTCCTGTGTTCCATTATCTCATCGCCTTGCTCTCTGCTAATGTGAAAACTGATGATGAATTGGTGTTGGCGGATTAATATGTTACTCGAGCTAGGTAACAAATTTGCATTGAACAAGGACATGCTGACAGTGCCTTCGTGCAGAAGAGTGAGGAATGGTGGCCAAAAATTTGGGCATCATGGCAGGCTGACCAAGGAGATATCGACTGGGAGGGTAGAGGTCTGTGCTGGGCCTCTCTATCATACCTCATGCCGGGGTGCCTGCATCTGTCACACACTCCAGCCATAATTTAATCCTAGGATGTCAAAGCAAAAGCCACAGCTACACTAAGGGACGAAATGGCCCTTTCAATTGTGTGTGTCTCTTATATAAGCTTGGGAGGTCGCATTTAAACCTGGTTGGCATTTTAGGCCAAAGGAGGGGTGCGGAAGACTGGTCTCCCCCAAAGGCATGGCCATGTCCAGTCTGGCTCATCTCGGGAGGTGGCCTTCCGTCAGCCAGAAGCCAGAATTCAGAAGGTGGGACAGGGTGCTTCCCATTCCCTCTGGGCCTTGCAATCTTGGATGTGGGCTTTGAGGTGGGCAGAGGGAGCGAGAGACCACTGCCATCTGACCGTAAGCTCAGGTCAGGCAGGGAGGCATAGGAGGACAGTGAAAGCTACTTTCTGAGCCAGACCACCCAGCTGCCTCTTCCTTTCAGAGTCAGCCTCTCGTCTGCTGAAAGTTCAGTGTGTAAATCGCCTTGCTCGCTCTCCATTGTGCTATAGATGTCAGGAGAAAAAACTGAATCCCCGCATTGTGCAACCTTGGGTACAACCTCTCCACGCCTCAGTTTCCTCAGCAGTACATCAGGCTGTTTGTAACCTGCCTCACAGGGCTGTGATGGGCACTGAGCCTGTTCATGTGTGTAAATTGCCCACTGCCTGCACCTACGAGCCCTCACAGCATGGCAGCGGTGATTTGTCTTGTTTTTGTCTACCTGTAGCAGATGCTGCTGGTGCCTGCCCTGTTCCCTGGGCATTCACCTCTACATGCCAAAAGGCAGATTACAGAGAATACATGTGACGGTGCCTGAGGCTGTGGGAATATGCTCGAACACAGAGGGGTGAGACCTAGGTGCCAGGGAATTAATGCACTTGGAAGCAGCCCTCGAGAAGTGGATAGATCCCTTCTTGCTCTCCCTCAGGTGGGATGCTCTGGCATGTTCCACACCGGCTCCCAAAGTTCCGCAGCCAGACTGAGCGCCAGCTGCCCACTGTGGGGATTGGCTCTGTAATGTGCCCCATGTTGGCTTCCTTCCTTCCTTCCTTGCCTCATTCCCCCTCCTCTGTTCATGTACCTGGGTCACCTCCGAATAAACTACTGGCACTTGCATCCTTGGCTCAGAATCTACTTCTGATGAAGCTAAACCAAGACTCTCCCCTGTAGGCTAGTGGTTCTCAGCCCGGACTCATGGCCGAATCACCTGCGGAATGTAACAAAACAGAGTCCTTATCTTGATTTGGTACCTGGGCACATTGGTTTTTTACTGCCATAGGCTATGCCAACACCACCGGCCAGAGTGCAAACCCATTCTTCCAGGTGAATACCCACTGCCTTCTGATAAGAAAGCAGCGTCGCTCTAAGCCAGCTAGAGGAGAATGGGGGAGGAGTCGGGGCGCACTCCCGTTGCAGGGCACATCCAAGAACTGAGGTCATACTGGATCCCCAAACCCTCCCCTTTCTATTGTTTTTCTCTTTGGGAGCTATAAGCAGAACCCCAGACTAGCCCAATGTGGGGGGATGGGGTGCAGACTGCATCAGCCTGGGCGCTCTGAATATGGCAGTTACTGGCTCTCTCCATTGACCTCTGGGCGGACCTGCTGGCCTGTTTCAGGGGTCAGCAGACACCTGGAGCCAGCAGGAGGCCCTCGGGCTGGGCAGTGCAGGCCTTCTGTGCAAAAAGGGGACGCAAGTTTCCGAGGAAGGGTTTGGGAGGAAATGGGTGATGTGCTACTATTCAGGGGTGTCACACTCAAAATGCCTCAAGGGTGGGCCAGGCAAAGAAGGGGCTATAGGGGTGCCCTGGAGCTGTAGTAAGAAATTGCAACAGGCCGAGGGGCTTCAAACAACAGAAACTGATTCTCCCCCAGGGCTGGAGCCCCGAAGTCTGAAATCAAGGTGTCGGCAGAGTTGGTTCCTTCTGGAGTCTCTGAGGAAGCGTCCATCCCACGCCTCTCTCCCGGCTCCTGGCGGGGGCCAGCAATCCTTGTGACACATGGCCTTCTCCTGTGTGTTTCTCTGTGTCCTCTCCTTTTCTTATAAGGACACCAGTCATTGGATTAGGCTCATCCTAGTCTAGAATGACTTCATCTTAACTAAATACATCTGCAAAGACGTTATTTCCAAACAAGGCCACATCCTGAGGTTTCAGGTGGACATGAATTTGGGGAGGGGACACTGTTCAACCTACTACAGGGACCTAATGGAAAGGGGCCAGAGTGGTTAGAGAGCGGACGTGCCACCACTGCTTTGTGTGAATGTGAGCCCTGTTATTTCAAGCGAGTCAGAAACCTAGGCTTCTCGTGTGAAGTCACATAGTTTTAAAATGTAGACTCAATTTTTTAAAACATTGTACAAGACCAATAAAATCCATCGGCAGGTCTGCCATCTGGGTCCCCTTTGGGACCCAGCAAGTCCAGGTTTCCTGCAGCCGGCCCCCAACTCTTCTGCTGTAAAGATGCCTCCCTGCCCCAGTGGGGAAGGTCAATACCAGGTGTGTTCCGGGGGCTCCTGGGGACTTCCTTGCCCCTCGCTGTCCCCCAACTACCCCTCCTCCCAGCTTCCCTGGGCATCGGAGCCTTGGCTGCAGCCCCTACCTTCTCAAGGCTGCAAGGTTACTCCTGGAGCTCACAGACAAGGGCCTGGGCAGGGAAGGAGGAGGAAAGAAACAAGCAGTTTACGGTGTTTGAAATCTCCATTTAATGGGCTCTGACTGCCGCTGCAGACAGCACATTAAGAGGCGATAGGCCATTGTCCTTTGCCGGAGTGCGAAGCATTAATAATGTCGTAACAGCATTTACTGACACTGTGCACAAATCATCAACCGCCTTGCCGGCGAGAACAAGCAGCCCCACACGGACGCCAGCCGCCGCGAGCTGTGCAGGGAGGCCAGCAAGTGGGGAGAGCTGTTTCTCCAATGCATATTTCATGCTTTCTGTTTCACAACATTTAGGCTAATCCTCCGATTGAAAAGCAGCGTCTGGGGTTTATTTTTATTTATGCCACAAGGCCATTCTGCCGCACAGCTTGTGGGAGCTGGGAGCACAGCTATTGTACTTCCCCTGTTCTGTAGGGAAGTTAGCTGCTCTGTCTGCGTCTGTCAGTGTTTGGACGTGCGTGTGCATGTGCGTGTTCATGGGGGGGAGGGAGCCTAGGGAAGCCAGAGACACAACAGACAGGGGGCCCTCCCAAACAGACCCCATCCCAGCACTGGAGACAAAGGCGAGCTCTTCCTTTAACATGATCACGACATTCCATTTATTGAGCACCTACTATGTGCCAGGAAATGACCCAGAGACTCTAAATATGTTACCATGTTTACATTGCTATTTTATTTCAATTTGCTTTAACAGGGCACCTTTTTTAAAAAATGACCCCCTTTCTTTCTGGACAGCTTCCCTGGTTGCATCACAGGTCACACTGCGGGAATGTGCAAGCAGCCATCTGGGGGTGGCAGAA